TGGGGAGGAAGAAAACACATCACATCTCAAATGCTGTATTAAATTCTGTGCCTTTCACTACAAGACAGACATTGAGGTGTTGGTGTGGTTCCAGAGAAGGGCAACAAAGCTGGTGCAGGGTCTGGAGCACAAGTCTAATGAGGAACAGCTGAGGAAACTGGGGGGGTTTAGTCTGGAGAAGGGACAGGGGGGACATTATTGTTCTTTACAACTACCTGAAAGGAGGTTGTAGTGAGGTGGGGCTGATCTCTTCTCCCAAGTAACAAGCAGTAGGACAAGAGGTAACGGCCTCAAGCTGCACTGGAAGAGGTTTAGATTGGACAGTAGGAACAATTTCTTCACAGAGAGGGTGGTCAGGCATTGGAACAGGCTGCCCAGGGCAGTGGTGGAGTCATTGTCCCTGGAGGTATTTAAAAGATGTGTGGTGTTTAGGGACATGGTTTAGTGGTGAACTTGGCACTGCTGGGTTAACAGTTGGGCTTCATGATTTTATGGGTCTTCTGCAACCTAAATCATAGAATCGTAGAATCACAGAATGGTTTAGTTTGCAAAGGACCTTAAGATCATCCAGTTCCAGCCCCCCACCATGGGCCTCACACTAGACCCCGTCACCCAAGGCTCTGTCCAACCTGTCTTTGAACACTGCCAGGGATGGAGCATTTGCCACTTCTTTGAGCAACCTGTGCCGGTGCCTCACCACCCTCACAGTAAAGAACTTCTTCCTTATAGCTAACCTGAACTTTCCCTGAATAAGTTTAACCCATTACCTCTTGTCTTATTGCTACAGTCCCTGACGAAGAGTCCCTCTCTGGCATCCCTGTAGGCCCCCTTCAGATACTGGAAGGCTGCTATGAGGTCTCCAAGCAGCCTTCTCTTCTCCAGGCTGAGCAGCCCCAATGTTCTCAGCCTGTCTTTGTATGGGTGGTGCTTGAGCCCCCTTATCATCCTCATGGCCCTCCTCTGGACTTGCTCCTACAGCTCCATGTCCTTCTTATGTTGAAGACACCAGAACTGCGATTCCATATGCCTGGCCATAGCAAAACTTCACATCTAGAAGCATTCTTACAAAAAACTTGATATATTCTGGGCTGCTTGCAGATGATATGAAATATAGAAGATGGGATGGAAATCTCTGGGTGTTTCAGTGCTCCGTGGGAACCGGCTGCGTGCTCAGTCTGTGGCTAACTCAGCTTCTCACACCCTCCATCTACTCAGTCACTCCAAAGCCTGGTGGGGTCCGATAAGTGACTCCTGACTCAGCAAAACATTGCCATATGACACTGCAGAGATGGTACTGTCAATATTGCTCCATTCCAGCAATCTTCTGGCTGGGTAGAAATGAATAGATTTGTAAAGAACATTTGTATAAGAAGGAGTTGGTGTGCCTTTAGTGTCTTTAGAGGTGCTTAATGGAATAGATGGGCTTTAAAATCTTACACAGCCTGCATTTGCATCTTTTCAGAACTGAAATCTCTAGAGAGGCTCTTAGGTGCAAATTTCCCAAGGAAGTGATTTTATTACCCTATGGGGAAGCTTTGGTGTTGATGACTGGAAATTACAGATGCGGCTGCCTAGTTTTGAGTTGTCTCTGCTCTGCAGTGGAGGCACTGAGAGGCAGAGACTCACCTGCAAGACCACTGACACTGGGCTCATTTTAAAGCCCAGATTACCTCCCTGTCCACTACCAGCACCAGTAACACAGAATACTCTTCTTTTCCAGCAAAGCTCTCTAGCTCATGTGGCCAAAGCTGCATCCTTTTTGCTATAGAGATGAATCTGTACAAGTAGATTAACCTTTCCTGACAGTCTCAGTTGCATGAGCTATTACAGCTGGATACTTTACATATGCCAGGTGCTGCTTCCCTTCGTTCCTCTCCACATTTTGGTTCAGGTAGCTCTGGGATACCTTCACTGATGCTTCGGAGGTGAGGAGCTGGAGGAGCTTAAGCAGGTGTCTAGCCTATTGAGCAGCACCAGTGTCACAGAACCCTTGAGTGTCAGTGGAGCTCCTTGGCAGGGGCACACTCCCAACCTTGGGTACCTCTCACTGTGCTGGTCCCCCACATGGCTTTTACTACCCAAAAGCTCTGAGCATGCTTAGTCCAAAGGACAGCTGGACCTAGGCCAGGACCCTCTGCCCTACGCCCATCTCCTGACACTGTTGGAGCTGTCACTGCAGACACCAGGCTTTGGACCTATGCATAAGACAAAGCCCTTTACGAGACTCAGTGTATCTCTCTTTACCCCTATCTGTCATTTCTACTGCAAAGCAATATCCAGAGACTTGCATATCCCTCCCTGCAGTTAATGGATGCAGCCATAAACCCAAGATTATCACATTGAACATGAGCAGCTGGGGAGCTGGTCTGCTGTCACTCTAACAGGGTGTCAGGGCACTTCTCCAGTTTTGTCTCACATGACAACGATAGAGAAGCGATTTTCAGGCTTGAACTTCACTCCCTGAATTGAGACAGGTTTGGGGGCAACTTTACTGGTTGCAGCACGCTTCTCTGGGAGCTGGGCTACCAGCGAGTAGCTCTGTGTGTTGAACTATGGTGCCTGTGAAAGCAGATAATCCCTTCCTTCCCCTGCCCTGACTGACGCATGAAAAGACGGGAAACAGGTGGATAAATTCAACAGGCAAAACTGCATGCAAAAGTACAAATCCATGTTTATAGCCCCTGCCACTGACCAGTGCAGTGCACATGTCTTGCTACCCACCAGCTGCCTCCTTAGTCTTGCCTGACCTTGCTAGGCACAGATCTGTTAGGCTTCAGGGTTGGGCTTTCTGCCCAAGGTCTGTGGTGGTGTTAAATCAGCACCTCCCAGGGTCTGCCTCTTGCTCTTGAGTCATACTGAAATAAGCAGACAAATCCAGCAGTCCCTGAGGGGGTTGGGTGTCTGAATCTGCTGCATGTATCATCAATACTAACAGGGTCCCAAGGCTGCTCAGTCTTTGACCTTGCATGTCAGGCTCACAAGTGTGTGCTTTAGCTCTGTAGTTTCTAAATAAACAATCCATGTTGTGCTGGAGGCATGCAGCTTTCCTCTCCAGAACAGCCCCTAGATTGTCTGTGTTGTTTTTTCCTAGCCTCTGCAAATAAATAGATGCGGCTTTAAGGGTATACAGAATGAAGGGCTGCAGCCACTCTGCGTGTGCGGGGGAAAATGGGTTCCAGTTATGCATCATGTTATGCTATATCTTCCCTCAGCCCTGCCAGAAAGCTGGGACAGAGCTGTCCTAATATATCCTGCGTGTGGGTGGGCTGGCAGCAGGAGGAATAGAAAACTCCATGGGGAAGGTGCATTTGTGTTGTTCACTATGGAAGTGTTTTAGGGATGATAACCCCACCAAAATCCATCCCTATGGTGCATCTGAAGGTCTGCACAGAAAGACTGGCAATACAGAGAACAACATGCAGGCAGACCAGCCCTCCCTTGCTACCTGAGGGCTGGAAGGGAGCAAACAGGCTTGCAGATCCCTGGGACAAATGAGCAGATGGTGTAGTAGCAGTAGCTGTGGGTAGGTGGGCAAGCTGTCTCCCCTCCTCTGCAGAAGTGGAAAGGGTCCAGGCATGGAAAACAGAGATGATAGAAGCTATGGACAACTCCGAGCAACTAGCCAGCTGGGACTTTCCAGCCTGGGGAAGAAGTTTCAATGAGAGAAAAGCTTTCAATGACAGCAGCCAGCTCTGAGCCAAGAGGCAGTGGACATCAGGTCAGACGCATCTCTCATCAGACTGTTATATAACAGCCATATAACATGGCTGTTACATGCTCTCCATACTATTTCCAGCTGCAGCATTAAAATCTACCAGCAATGGCTTTGTTGCGCATCGTGGTGATGCCATGTCCCATGTTATGATTCCAGGAAGGTGCAGAGCTGGAGGTGCGTGGGGATGAATTACATGACTAGCTGGCCAAGCACCACAGTAGCCATGACACTGGCACAGCTCCTGGACTCTTGGGGTGGTCACTGACTTCAGGGAGCTCGCTTGACCATGTCTGTGCCCTGGACTCTTACCCAGGTGCCTGCAAGGGAGTTGTATGAGTATAGTAGCAAGTCAGAGCAGCATGATTCCCTATGGGTGAGCACAGACATGTCCTGGAAGGGTTTCAGCTCACACTGAAGTTCTTTTAAAGGCTGATCAGAAATATTAACCAGTCATTCTGAAGAAACACAACATCTGGTGCACAACACAACAACTGAACTGAATTCAGCAGGCAAGTCCTGGATTAGCTAGCGCCTGCTGATCTCTACCACTGCAAGGAAAGGGATCCCCTTGCATACCCAAGTTGTACAGTCTCGTTACAGCTATCTCATGAAAGGTTGGTTGTGTTCCACCTGGGAGACAAAAGAGCAGAGGGAGCCCCAAGGACTGCCAAGGCACACTGTCGGGCTGTGCCAGTCCCAGAGATGGCCCTGACACCAGGAGCAACCTAGACCTGAAATTTGGCAACCAGACGGGAACCTGCAGTTCCCAGAGAGCAGTTCTGGGTAATTAGTGAAGTTTGGTGGCTACTTTCAGGAATCAGGAATCCTTGATGAAGCAAGAATCAGGGGTCCCTTGTGTGCAGGGTCTCCCCTTGGGCTCTTTCCAGACTGCTGTTGTGAAAAGCTCTTGGATAAGGAGCTGAATAAAATCTGCACTGAGAAGCGCAGATATTACTATTTTCAACTTACGCCAGCTCTGTAAGCTGTGGTGTTTGCTAGGGAGCCAGGAAGACGTTTTCTCCCACGCTGGAGAAACTCCTTTTGCTAAGTTGCCATCCTACAGAAAAAAAACATCTGCACCTTCTTCACTGGAATCTGTGTGCTTCTTGCTACTCCCACATGGCCTTTGCCGCAGGAATGTGTATGAGATAATATTCACAGTGCAGAGCATCGTTTTACAGGGGATTTGAAATGAACGTTTTGACTGTACACTTTTAGTAGCCCTTTGTAGGAACCACCTTATGCTGTTTTCCCTCAGCCCTGCATAAAAGAAGTTCTGTTGAAATAAGACTGTGCCCATCATTTTATTATTCACCATCCCTAACTTTAACGTGCAATCAGTACAGAGCACACAGGATCAATTAATCACCTGTTCCTGGGCTCATGAAAGCTCAGATGTCTCGACAGTTCCCATTTTTCAAAATCTGGATGTCTTGCCTGGTTCTCCTAGAATAACAGAGGAAAAAAAGCATACGCGCTCAGAAAAATACTTGCCACATCATACTTTGGCTCCTGTCCAGCCCATGGAACAGAGCTGACTGGTATAAAATTGGCTTACTATCCTGTCTAGAAAGCTGCTGTGGCTGCATGCCATCATGGCCCACAGTGTCCACTCCTTTGTGGGTGATGCTTGTGGTTGCTGCCCCGTTTTGCATCACCCACTACCATCAAGAAGAGTGTGGCACCATCCCATCTGCAACCATAGGCTGCTGCTAGATCCCCCAAGCCTCCCATGCCCCAGACTAGCTGGACACAGCTACCCTGTACCTCCCTGCAGCTTCCCTTGACAAGCTGGGCACCCCTGTCCTCCTACAGCCTAGCACACAGTTTGTGTTACCTGCCGTGCAAGTGCACTGCTGACCTGTGTTCAACCTCATCTTCACCCTCTGTCCCTTTCTAATGGGATCTCCTGCTCAGTCACTCCCCAGTCTGGGTAAAATCAGTGCCCCAAAGCAATTTGTGCTTCTCTTAGGGTCCCTGCTGCCCTAGTCCTAAAGTTTATGGTGGTACCTTTTGTTTGAAGTTATGCCAAAAGAGGCATGAGGCACGTAATCGGACATGTGCATTTGCAAAACTCCCTTTGAAGGATTTAGTGGTGCTGTTTGACTCTCAAGGCTAGATGCTTAGTCGACTTTCTGCCCAAGTTCCACTCTGCCTTCTCTGATTGCAGGCAGCACGAACGGTGGGCCTTTCTCCCATACCTGACAGTGTCCGGTTCGTTGTCAGCTTGCCGGCACTTAGGTCGGAGGCCTTCTGGCCATGGGTTCCTGACCTCACCTTTTTCATCTGCTGATCATGCAGCCACAGATGGTCTGACTTAGCAAGCTGATGCAATGGGTGAATAGTCAGCTTTTCTGTGAGATTAGTCCCCTGCCAACACAACAACCTAAATCCCCCCAGCCTGCAGATGAACACTAGTTACTGAACATCGTGCTAAGAATGGGGCAGGAACCTTCAGGCAAGGGCCCTAACCCTAACCCTAACCCTTCAGACACGCCTGCACCTATTTTCAGGCACTACCAGTGCAGGACAGTGAAGCTCCCAGGCATAGGGGAGCTTGAGTGACAGTATTTCACAAGCACCCAGTTTCAGATGGCCAAAATTAGGCACCCGGAGGTCTCTGTCAAGGGCATGAGCTTACATTCGCTGCACACAGAGCTGGCATTCATTGGCATAGGTGTTCCCATCAGTCCCACAGACAGGCAAGTACACGAGGGGGCAGACCTGCAGCTCCACCATCTCTCCACACACCGGCTGAAAAGGAGAATCCACATCACCCATTTCAGTACCAGAAGCACCCACTTCTTCCTCCCACGGCACCTGGGAAGGAGCAAGTCCCACCAGCGACGTGGCTCCCCCAGCTCTGGGCAGGGCACACAGAGCAGGAAAGCAGAGGGCAGGGGCCACCACGTCGCTCAGTGGGACTCACAACCCATCCTCTGGTGTGGGTTTGATGCTGGAGCACCAGCACACATGAGGCTGAGGATGGTTGCTGGCAACAGCTTTTCTCCCAGGCATGCTAAGCACTGAACCTAATCTCAAGCCAGAAACCATAAAACCAGAAATCTCTTACCTTTCTCAGGCCGTTCCCTTCGTTCACCTCTGCTCCTGAAACAGAGCAGAGACCCATGAACATGGCAAACCAGTGACTGGTGGCAGGAGCATGAGATATCAATAGGGGTCACATCCAGACCAAAGGAAAGGCAGGGTTGTACAGGACCCACTCAGGATCCAGATCAGCTGTGTGGGTTTCATGAGGGGGGACCAATTCCTGCATGCCACCCTCCCAACAGCACAGTGCACAGCCTCCATCCGCAGCTGAGCTGGCTGGGACAAAGCTGTCAATGCCTGTTCCTGCTCCCTAATCGCTCTACTGACAGCCTTCTCTCCCAGTGTCTGGACCAGGAGCTCCACACTGCATCCAGCACATTCCATGAAATGTGAATCCATGGAGTGCAGCACAAGGGGTGTCTTCAGAGGGCTGAGGCTGGGTAACTCTGCACAGCCAGACAACAGCCACCCCAGAGACAGCTGCATTCTGTGGGTCCTTCTGCAGCCAGGAAGAGCAGTAGCAACAGCTCACAGCCCATTTGTGCGGTGCATGAATATCCTGGGAGCAAGAGGGCTTATACACAGGCTGCTGCGGGACCACTAGTATGGGCACCTAGGTAGCATCGATTTTCTGGAGTCTACAAATAGCCGCCTCCCACATGAATACGCTGAGCACACAATGTTCTTGTGAAGATCTGCAGCTTTTCATGGAAGCAGGAACAACAGTAGCTGCCATCACAGTGTATGTGCTGTCCCCACATATCCTGGCTCCCACCTGCATTGCGGGCTGTCCCCTGTCCCACCACTCTCCTGAGGGCAATGCAGTTGATGAACCAGCCTATAACCCTTGCCCTGAACTAGCACAGTCTGTTTGCCGCAATCCTTCCTCCCTACAGCGCTGCCCCTGTGTGTGCTTGCCCTCCCCACCTCCGCTCCAAACAAGAGATCCTGGTTCTTTCTGCCCTCCCACCCATTTCTGGTCCATCGGTTGCTCCCAACCCACCACCACAGAGCCATGTACCAGCAGCAGAGCAGGCTTACCACCGGCAGTGATGAGAGCAATCAGTGCTGCTGCCACCACCAACACCACTGGCAGCTCCTGCATGGGCATGGCTGGTGCGGACGCATGCACTCGTGCACCTTGCTCTGAGCACAGCTGCCTTTATAGGAAGGGCATCGGCTTATCTCAGCAGTGCCGGGAAAAGCAGCACTTTGATCTGCCCTGGGAGCAGCTGCCCTGTGAGGAATCACTTGGGTGTTCTCACACCACTGATAAGCCCCGGCGGTGCCACTTGCCGGCCTCAGGTATTGGAGGCTGCTTTACAGTGCCGTGCTTTGTTGTCTGGGTTGGGCGATGCTGCTCTTCTCCCCTCCTCACAGCCAGCTCACCCCTGGGTGTATCTCATCCAAACCATCCCTCCAGCTTGGCAGCTGCTGCTCTTCATACATAGCAGGTATGCCCAGTGGAAAAGAGGAAACTCAGGCTCATTTGAACGGCTGTGCTGTGGCCTGAGCGTTATGAGACACAGCCAAGCAGATACTCAGCTGCCTGATGCATAGGGCAGGACCACAGGAGTGGGATCTCAAATACATGGGCAGGAGACCTGCTGTCATGCTGCAGCAAGCACACCCCATCATCAGAGGGGTGGGATGGGAATGGCTGGGGGTGGAGAGGGCCTGGAGGGAGTGAAATTCAGGAGTGGGAGCAGGGAGCTGCAGCTGCAGCCACTGTCTTTGCTCCTCTACCCATCATCATGGGCAGTTTGATACTTTGCTCTGCTCACCAGCTTGGTCACGTAAATGGTTGCAGCTGAGACTGACAAAGCAAAAGTATCATAAGATTCAGTGTGATGGAAGGGGTCTGTGTGCATAGAAAACCAGCTTAAATACTCAGAGAGAGGACAGAGAGCGTGGAGAGGATCCTCCATGGTAAGAAAAGCCAACTGTTCACTGAAGAACTTTTCCACAAGCATCAGCAACCCGGAAGATCTCAGCCACTTTGCCTGCAAGGCGGGATGCTCAATGTCATTCTTTCCATGTAAGCATCGTCATCACCCCTTTCTGAAGATCTTAATTTACCACATCCATCCCCACCTTCCTCTGGTGAATCAGTGGTAAAGGGTAAAGGATGGAAACAAAGACCACTGTGTGGAAAGTCAGTGTTGTAGCTGAAGACCGGTGTTGACTAAAAACTCCTTTGGGACAGACTTGGTGGGGTCAGAAGTGACAGAGGGTCTCCTTCACTCTGGGAGCAGGCAGCAGGTGCTGTGTAGGCAAGGGGCAGGAAGGGGGTAGGTGTCCTACAGAAGCCACCATCAGCCTGGGAGAGCTCCAGACACCCACAGCAAGCACATGTGCCCTTGCTGAGGAGCTGACCATGACTGTGCTCAGGGCATTTCTTCCCCACAGTCTACCTGAGGCTTAGGAAGGTACAGGCTAGCCCTAGATGTCTGAGACAAGGAAGCAGCTTGGTGAGCATCCCTCCTCATCAGAGGGGTATGGGCACTATGCAAAACTGCTTTCACCCTTGCCATTGGGAGGTCTTTCCACCAGCTCAGCAGGGCTGTGAGCAGGTTCTGGGAAGGAGGAAGGTGACTGATTCAGGGTTCCCCTTGCAGAACCATTCCTCCGCTCTGCCAAGGCAGCTGTGCACATGTTTTATATTCCCTCTTCACAGAGTTTACATAGCTCGGTAACCTTTGGCTGTTATTATTATTCCACTTTGGAAATCCCTCAACTAAAGTAAATACTTAACTGCATTAGTGGTTATTCCTGAGGCACATGGGAGCCTGTTGTTCTTTTTTAATCTAGTACTAGGAAGGCCAAAGTGGGATCAGACAGTAGACTGATAGCAGTAGCCATTGCTCCTGAAGCTAATGAGGGCCTGTTGTTCTTGTTTAGTCTAGTACTAGAGTCCAAGGTGGGATCTGATAGTACCCTGCCAGTAGCAGTAGCAGCTGTTCCCAAGGCACATGGAGGCATCTTGGTCTTGTTTAGTCAGGTACTAGAGAGGCCGTGGTGGGACCTGATACAGCCTCTTGATAGTGCCAGATAACAGAAGAAAAGGCAACAAGCTCAAACTGCAACCCTGAGATATGCAGGTCACAAGGTAGGAAATAATCCCTACAGTGGAGATCAAGCAGCAACCCAGACCAGCAGGGAGGTGGGAGATCTCCATCACTGGTGGCCTATGTGCAGGGGCACAGGTGGCCTGTCCAAGCCCTTCCATGCACAAGGGTTAGCAAGCTCACCAAACCAAGATTTGGAGGAGCCCACCACCAGTGTGTTGGGCCCTGGGGACACAGGAGCTCTCATCTACAGCACATGTGGCACCCACCTTTCAAATGTGGTCCCAGCCAACACTCAACTACATGGACACCGTGGGGCCACGTCCTGCAAACTGCTCCCACACCAACTCTCAGGCTGGGAGCACAGCCCCAGTGAAGGGCTATCATGGGCCTTTACAATATTCTTCAATGCTTTTATTACCAAAAAACCCCACACAAAAGCTGATGGCCTCCAGTGCCACCACTGCAGAGAACCATGCTGTGTCATGAGTCCCAAGCATGACCTGGCTCTTTGGGTCTGTACCAGAGGCAGCAGGTTATGTGATGCCATGGAAAACCTGCTGGCCGACACACGGCTTGATCTGCCTCCATGTGGTTCTTTAGTGATTCAGACACTAAGAGATGACAAAGAGGAAGTCACCTCTTGCAAGCTGTTTTTGTCTTTTTCTGCTTTTCTGTCAAGCATAGGCTTTCAGACCCTGCTGAAAGTCCTGCCTGCTCTCCCCATCATGGAAGAGGTGGGTGGAACTGAAGGTTTTCTGATGGCTGTTTGCCCTCACACTGGCCCCACAGCTACAGCTATGTCTGAGACAGTCATGCATTTGGGTCTGGGCTTTCCTGCTGTGTGTTGCAGGTGTCATGAAGTGGGCTACCTTTCTGCTGTCCCAGCCTCTCAGTGCTACAGGAACACACGGGGGAGCTGCTTCCCATTCCCTTTGTCAGGAGCTGTAGGGATAGGACAATGGGTAATGGGTTCAAACTTACACAGGGGAAGCTCAGGTTAGATATAAGGAAGAAGCTCTTCCCTGTGAGGGTGGTGAGGCCATGGCACAGGTTGCCCAGAGAAGCTGTGGCTGCGCCATCCCTGGCAGTGTTCAAGGCCAGGTTGGATGGGGCTTGGAGCAACCTGGTCTAGTGGGAGGTGTCCCTGCCTGTGCCAGGGGTTGGAACCAGATGAGATTTAAGGTCCCTTCCAACCCAAACCATCTCTCTTGTTGCCTCACGGTGTTGCCCCTGACTTTGCACTTGTACCCACAAGCTGGCTGGCATCCTGTGTCTGTGGTGTGTGCCCGGGATTGCTCGTTGCAGCATGGGCCTTTACCATGGCTATGCCTCCCGGTAACCATGGTGCTGTGTGCAGGTTCTCCATCTGCCGGGGCACTGGTGGCTGCAGGTCAAGCTGGATTACATCACATTACTCTTTCTCCATGTCTGCCAGGTGGCCTTATCTGACGTGTGGCCTTGGATTTGTCACCGCTCCTCCCAGCACCTGCCAGTTCCTGGCTGTTATCTGCTGCCTTTCCTGGATTTTACAGCTGTTCTCAGCCTTACAGCTTCCTGCACTTGCACCAGTGTTTTAACTCCTCTTCTGCTGCTCCTCCCGGGGCTTTTGCATAGCAGCAAAGAGCCCCAAGCACCCAGGTAACTCAGAGCAAAGTGCTGCCAAGCTCCAAGTCCACTGTCTACCTGCCTGCTGCACAAGCGAGCAAGTAAAAAAGAGGAGGGCAAGTACCACGCTCACTTCCATCCTTAGCTCCCTCCCTGCTCCAGATGTTTCTTTTACAGAGATAATGAGAGCCTCTGTTCTGCCTCTGCTCACCCTGAGGTGTCTTCGCAAGTAGAAGGGAGAAGGTCTGATTTGTTCCTTTGGATGGAACAAAAACCCCACAGAGATGCAGGTGACCACAGGTTTTCCTTTGGCTATAGAGGGGAACACCCCATCACACCTGAGATTGTTACCTTGCGTAACCAGGGCAGGGAGCAGCTATCACCACTTCCCAGAAGTTTTGCCAGAATATCTGGGTTCACACCTCACCTCTGGCTGTTTGCATCCTCTCTTTATTGCTGTGGGTAAATACTCCCACGTGGCAGGCAGTGAGTAACGCTCACTATTTCATTGATGATTCAGAAATATCCTGGTGACACCACTGCACGCTGCGAGAGGGCAAGACAGGGTGAGTCCGTGTGCAAGTCCTCCTGCCTGCTGACCTCCCCACCAGCACAGGGTCAGTCAGGACCAAGGTGGCATCGGTCTGGACAAGACTAGAGCTTCTCACCAAGCCAGGCTGTGCGCCGGACCTCAGAGGTGCAGCAGGCTAGGGGCCCATCCA